TGGCTTTTCCAGCAAGCGGGCCTGGCCTAGGGAGGATTTTAAATCGGGTTTATTTTTTAGAAAATTTTAAACAGCACAACTTTAAAATATTTGGTTTTAATTGGTTTTATTTGGTGGGGATTGTAAATATGTTTCTGTTTTTAAATATGTTGTGAGCCGCCCTGAGTCCCGTTGGGAGAAGGGCGGGATATAAATCAAAAATAAAGTAAAGTAAAGGACCCCCCCCAGTGTAATCACGTGACCTCCGGGGTCCTCTTTGGAAGGAGACCCCGGGGGAGGAGCAAACGGGAAAGGAGCCCCCCCCAGTGGAGAGGCGGGAGGGGAGCCCCTGGGCCCCAGTTTCTCCACCTGGGCGACTGGAAAAAGAGTGGACTTCGACTCCCAGGAGCCTTTGCTGGCTGTGGAATTCTGGGAGTTGAAGTCCGCACCGCTTCAAGTTGCTGAGGCGGAGAACAGAGTAGAAGAACCGGATAGAATAATAACTTTATTGTCCCTTTAAATGTATCACTAATCTTCATACTTTAAAGAGAGATTTCTTTGCGTACGAAAACGATTCTGCATTGGTCCCCAACCAGCCACAACCCCTTTTCCCAAAATAAACCAGAACATAGAATAACAAAGTCGGAAGGGTCCTTAGAGGTCCTCTAGTCCAGCCCTTTGCTTCCTTGGTCCACCCCAGCTGGGGAGGGCTTTTCAGAGATGGGGGGTGCAACCCCTCCCTCCCTCCTCCCCCCTTCTCTGGGCATGAGGTGGGCAGGGGCTGCTGTGATGCTCCCCCTTGCGATCCGGTGGGCTTTTGGGCTTCCTCAAACCAGATTACGCCCCCCCTCCCCCTTGCAAGCCTAATTCCAATGGGTGGCAATAAACAGAAGGCACTCTGCACATGCTTCAGCAAACAGTACTCCATTTAATAATGGTTTCTCCTTTGGTCAAAACTGGTTATGGGCCTCTGTCGATGGGGGAGACATGCTCTCTGCTTACACGGAGGCCATTCAAGGCGGGGAGAGGGCATGGATGTAATCCTGGACCCATTGTTCTAACGGGTTGGCACAGGTCTTTATGCCTCTTTTTGTGATGAATCTGCAAAGGAAATGTCTGCATGTCATGTAATGTAACTACATGTAAGGGAACACCGCATATCTGCAGAAATGCACATGACCCAAGACAGAATGTCTCCAGAATGTATATGGGTCAGTATAAAAGAAAACAAAAGTGACATTGCCATAGGTGTATGCTACAGGTCACCCAACGAAGCAGAAGAAATAGATGGACTCTTTGCTAATCAATTAACAATGATATGTAGGAAACACACCACAGTAGTAATGGGAGACTTCAACAAACAGATTCCTAACCAACCGAGCCAACAACTTTGTCACCCAAAAGGTGGAGGAGGGAACTAGACGTAAAGCCACACTGGACCTAATTCTTAGTAGTAGGGAAGAAGTGATAGAGGGAGTTGAAATTGGCAGAGCCTTGGGCGAGAGTGACCACGTCATGCTGAAATTCAATATAATACAAACACAAGCAATAGAAAATAAACCAACCAGCGTCTTAATCAAGACCACGGTTTAGCCCAGTGTGTCTCCACCTTGGGCCAGGCTGGCTGGGGAATTCTGGGAGTTGAAGTCCACCCCTCTTAAAACGCCCAAGATTGAGACCTACTTAGTGAGCAATTTGGTGAGAAGGAAGCTTAGAGGGTCTCCTGAATCTCTTGCTAAGCTGAGCCCAGAAGACCCTCAACAGCCATTCTGGGAAACTTACACGACGCCCGGCTGGCTGCAACCGCTGCTGGTGTATTCAAAAGATTTCAACAGGCTCAGCGGGATATGATGTGTCATGAAAGCATAGCAGCAAAGAGTGGGTATATCAACTGGGGGAGGAAACAGAGAAGAGAAGAACTGATGGGATGCCACACCATTGGGTGGAGAAGCTCTCTTCCCCCCCCCCTGTCCTGGGGTGGGCAGGAAACTCTCCGGTGTAAGATTTACAGCACAAGAGCAACAAAGACGATTAAGGGGCTGGAGGCTAAAATATATATGAGGAATGGCTCCAGGATTTGAGTATGGCCAGTCTCAAGAAAAGTAGGGGGACATGACAGCAGCGTTGCAGTATTTGTGGGGCTGCCCCAAAGAAGAGGGAGTCAAGCTGTTCTCCAAAGCGCCTGAAGGCAGGACAAGAAGCAACGGATGGAAACTAACCAAGGAGAGAAGCAACCTAGAACTAAGGAGAAACTTGCTAACAGTGAGCACAATTAACTGGGGGAACAGAAGTTGCCTTCAGACGTTGTGGAGGCTTTGAAGAAGAGACTGGACAACCACTTGTCTGAAGTGGTATAGGTAATGTCTCCTACTTGAATGGGGGGCTGGACTAGAAGACCTCCAAGGTCCCTTCCAGTGCTACGACTCTGTTTTCTGTGTTACAAAAAGGGGCAGAGGGTCTCCACAGACCCCACAGGAAAGGTCTCCATTGTGGACTCCACACGACTTGTCCTCATGTGTTGATCGGACTGACCACACCAGGTCTGACTACACCAGCTGGAGACCTCCCCTGCCCCGAGCAAGGATGCTGTTCAGCTCAGAGCCTTCTGCAAAGCTGGCCTGGGGTCCTGGGGGTCCCCAGCTGTGCCCCATTACATGGCTCCTCTTATGGGGAGAGGGGTGCCTGCCCTCTCTCTAACCCCCCCCCAAGCACTACCTTGGGAAGGATGGGGGACCCTGTCTTTAACTGTCTGTCTCCACCCTGGTCCATCCCAAAGACATCGCAGTGGGGCAGAAGACCCCCAGGGCTCTCCCCAGAGGAAGGGGCTGGGCTAGGGCCACAGGGCGTCGCTCAAGGTCAGGAGGCAGATTGGGGCAGATTTTGTTACGCTGAAAAGGGGAGGAAAGAGAGACTTACACGACTGGCCATCGGACTGGACCGCAGAGGTTGCATCTGAAAGAGAGAGATGGGGGGGGCATTGTGACTCTCCCAATTCCCCCCCTTCCCCCATGGCTGAGAACTGAGGTGCCCCTGCTAGAAGGAAGCCCTCCAGACAATCGCCTGGGCCCTCCGGAGGGTTGCAAGAGAGGGGGGGCTGGAGGTAGCCAAGCGGATCAGAGACTCACTGAGACCCTCGACATCCAGGGTGACGGAGACCACCAGGAGCAGAAAGGCGAAGAGGGTCTTCATCCTCAGAGACGGGAGGGAGAGCAGCTCCAGTCTTATCTCGGGGGTATCGGCACTGGGCACCCAACGCCACTCGGCTTCCAGATGCCTCTTTATAGGAAGCGGCAGCTGCAGGTGTGGGAAACACGTGGGGGGCTCCCCCACCAGGGCGTGACCACAAAGCTGTGGGGCCAGGGAGGCTCCTGGATGCTGTGAAGGAGCGTTTTGCACACTGAAGCAAAGTCTTGACTGGCATCGCGATGGAAGGTCAGGAAGTCCATCTGAAAAGGCAGCATGTCCACCTANTCCAATGTTTTCTGGAAGATCAACCATGATTTGGGGACTGGAGGCTAAAACATATGAAGGACGGTTGTAGGAATTGGGCAGGTCTAGTTTAATGAAAGAAGGACCAGGGGTAACAGATGATAGGCAGTCTTCCAGCATTTGAGGGGCTGCCCCAAAGAGGAGAGGGGGTCAAGCTACTCTCCAAAGCCCCTGAAGGGCAGGAGAAGAAGCAACGGATGGGAACTCATCAAGGAGAGAAGCAACCTGGAACTAGGGAGGAATTTCCTGACAGTGAGGACAATCAACCAGTGGAACAGAAGTTGCCCAGAGGTTGAGGGTGCTCCATCACTGGAGGATGTCAAGAAGAGACTGGACAGCCATTTGTCTGAAACTGTATAGGGTTTCCTGCCTGAGCAGGGGTTGGACTAGAAGACCTCCAAGGTCCCTTCCAACTCTGTTATTCTGTTCTCACAACTGATAGGCCAGCTCAACCGTACCCACAAGGGCTTCTTAAAAAGAGGAAGTTGCAGTAGGTCCACCAAAAACGATCCAGCTGAGTTCCATGAGGGATTGGAACGAGGAGAGGGAGAAAATGGGTGGGCCTGTCAGAAAAGTCAAGATGGCGGCCAGATTTAATTTTTTTTAAAAAAGGCTACCATGGCATGGTTTCCGTTGCCATTTTGATCTTTTTTGGCCTCCTCCTTGCAGACACCCCTGGACCTTTTTAGCTGGAATAGAAAACGCCCTAGAACAGCGTGGCTCCCCCTCAGGGACTATAAGATGGGAGGACTTCAACTCCCAGAATGCACCGGGCAGCATGCCGGACTGCTTGGGGTGAGATAATACCAATAGGCTGATGATATCCAGGTTTTATCTCCACCGCAGACGGCCCGGGTGGCGGTTGTGTCTCAGCGCCTGAGGTGGGGGGAGACTGGGGGGGGGGCTGCAGCAGCTTCAGCTCAAGCAAGCGAGACCAAGCGAGGGGCTCTGGGTTCTTGGACCTCCCATCCCTGGTCTTGGAATGGGGGGGGCGTTTCCAAACAAGGCATGGGGAGGGCCCATGGCTGGCTGACCCCCCAGGGGTCCTCCACGGACACCCCTCCACGGAGACCCGGCAGGGGCCAGGGATTCGCCTCGGGTCCTCCGCCCTTCCAGCTCTTCATGAATGGTTCAGCGGGTGGAGGAGAAGCTGGCCCGTTTAGCCAATCGCACAGAATGGTGTAATAATAATAATAATAATAATAATAATAATAATAATAATAATAATAATAATAATAATAATAATAATAATAATAATAATAATAGGAGTCAGTAGAAACATTAGAAAATTTGTGCAAAGATCGATGGCACAATGGAAGACACAGTTGCAGATCAATGGTGAGAGACTGGGAGAGGTTAATATCAAGAGAGGAATATTTTTCTTAAAAATTTTTTTTTTTTATTAATAAAACAGTTAAAACAAAAAAGGACATAACGTGACGTTCCAGTATATATACTCCTAACAATTTGTTCCTTGTCATACATATAATTCCTAATCTCTATATCTACATATTTTCCTATGTAATACAGTCTCAAATTTGTTTCTCTATATACTAGCATACAGTTTTATATTCCACAATCTTAACACTAACTTAAAACCCAAACAATTCTCCTTGACTCGTACCAGCAATACAATTTGTCCCAGATTTCAAAATAGTCCGTTTCTATCTTGTCCTTTAATTCCACAGTGAGCCTATCCATATCAGCACACGATAAGATTTTGTATAAAATCTCTTCTTCTGTTGGAATTTCTTTGTTCCTCCAGTTTTGGGCGTAGGCCAATCTGGCAGCCGTGAAAATAGGTAACATCAAGTAGAGTGCCCCTTTATCGTATTTCTGCATGATGATACCTAGTAAGAAGAGTTCTGGTTTTAGCTCTACCTCTATCATTAGTATTTCTTCCAGCCATTTTTTTAACCTTGTTCCAAAAGTCACGGGCTTTTGAGCACTCCCACCATATATGATAATATGTCCCTCTTGCCAATTTACATTTCCAGCACGTAGGAGAAATATTTTGGCCCATTTTAGCTAATCTTGTGGGTGAGAGATGCCATCTATAAAACATTTTGTAAAGGTTTTCTTTGTAGGATGTGGCCAGGGTGAGCTTCCAATTTCGTACCCATGGTTCTTGCCAGATATGCAGATCAAAGTTGAGATCAAAGTCCCTTCTCCACATTAACATGGTTTCTTTTAGCTGTTCTTCGTACATTGCCTGATGTAACAAATAATGATATGACTTTTTAATCATTTTATCCTCAGTACCTGATAATATTTTATCCAACTCTATCAATTCTATTTTTATGCCTAGTTCTTTTTTGTCTTTCCAATATCTCGCCTGTAATTGAAGGTATGCCCACCATTCTAATTCTATCCCTTCGTCTTGAAGATTTTTCCTGGATTTCAATTCCCCTTTCTCGTCTAGTACCTTTTTATATGTTATAATCTTCCCTAATTGAATAAACTTTGAATGTACATATATTTCTAACGGTGAGATCCAGCCAGGGACTTGAGTATGGTTTGGTTGCCAGGTTTTGACCCATACATCAATTAAAGCCCGCCTGATATAATGCCTTCGAAAATATTTATGTGTCCTATATTTCTGGTCCCATAACACAGCATGCCATCCTATTTGTAAGTCATGACCTTCCAAACATAGTAATCTCCTGTTCTTCAAAAGTATCCAATCCCGCACCCATAGTAGAACTATGGCCTGATAGTATTTTTCCATGTCAGGGAGGCCAAGTCCCCCCCCTCTCTCCTTCGAATCCTGCAATAATTTTAATTTGATCCTTGCTTTTTTTCCTTGCCAAATAAATTTGAGTATGATTTTGTTAAGGTTTTGAAAAAATTTCTTATCCAATTTTATAGGTATACATTGAAGCAGAAATAAAATGTTCGGTAACACGTTCATTTTGATTACGGCTATTCTGCCCATGAAGGAGAGCTGTAAGTTGGTCCAAGTATCTAAATCAGCTTTAATCTGTTCAATTAGTTTATCATAATTGTCTCGCTGAAGTGTAACGCATCTAGTGGTTAGCTGTATCCCTAAATATCTTATTTTATTCGTAATTTGAATACCTATTCTATCAGCCAATTCATTTTTCTATATTTTAGTTATGTTCTTGACGAGCATTTTAGTTTTTTCTTTATTTATCTTCAGACCTGCTATTTCCCCATATTTACTCAATACTTCCATCAATCTTATCCTGATTGTAATGGCTCTTCAATTATAAAAACTAAATCGTCTGCAAAAGCTTGCGTTTTATACGTTTCTTTCTTGATCTCTAAACCTTTGATCTGTTTATCTTTTCGAATTACTCTGATCAATGCCTCTAGGGATAATATAAACAACAATGGCGATAACGGACAACCTTGCCTTGTACCTTTTTGAATTGGAAAGCTATCGGTCATTTCTCCATTAATTATTACTTTCGCTGCCTGATTAAAATAGACTGATTTAAACATATTTATAAAGTTTTCCCCGAAGTCCATATACAACAATTGATTAAGCATAAAATCCCATTTCACATTGTCGAATGCTTTTTGTGCATCAAGGAAGATTAAACCCATTTGCTTTTCATTGTGTACCTCGTAATACTCCAGTATATCCAAAACAATCCTAACATTATTTCTTATGTATCTTTTTGATAAAAAGCCATTTTGATCAGAGTGCATAAAATCTGCTAGAAATCTTTCAAGTCTTTGCCCCATTATGGCCATAAAGATCTTATAGTCTGAGTTTAATAATGAAATGGGTCTATAGTTTTTAATATGTGCCAGGTCTGTGTTTTCCTTAGGACTCAGAGTAAGTAGAGCTTCTTCCCATGAAGCTGGTATTTTAGCTTTTGTTAAGACCTCATTAAATAATTCCAACATTATTGGGCTTAAAAGTTCTTGTATGATTTTGTACATTTCTACAGGTAAACCATCTGGCCCGGGTGCCTCCGAAAGTTCCAAAGGTGTTATCTCTTTGTTCAACAAAGTTTTAAATTCTTTTGGAACATTCGGTAGGTCAGCTGTTTGCAAATACTGTACAATATCATCATTATTTCTCCATTCATCATCTTTATATAAGTTCTTATAGAACTCATATGTCACTAATTTCTTTCCTTCGTTCTGATACGCCATGTCACCTTCTGCATTACAAAGTTTAGTGATCTTCTGTTTGTTATTGTGTTTTTTAATTTTATAGGCCAGCCATCTCCCCGGTTTATTGGCATTTTCAAAATAATTTTGTTTAGTACGTTTTATCTGCTGTCCTAGTTCTTCCTTCCCAATAATGTTCATCTTGTGTTTAATTAGATCTATCTGCTGTTTCAAATCACGTCTTTGTGGTTCCTTTTGTAAATTTTCCTCAACTCTACTTAATTCTTCTTCTAAGTGTCTTTGTCGTTGTGTTTTAATTTTGTTTTCCCTGGCCCTATAAGAAATTGCAGCGCCTCTCATATACGCTTTGGCTGTGTCCCATAAGTTTTGGCAGTTCGTATCTTCCTTTTTGTTTGTCTCGAAAAACAGGTCCATTTGTTCTTCCAATTTCGATTTAAATTCTTTAGGTTTTAGGATTGCCCTTTTCAAGGTCCATCTCCTCATTCTTTTTTGCCCTTTCCATCTAATTCTAATTGGATTATGGCCAGCCCAGGAGTTTGTATCAATTACAATATCCTCTACCTCTAAATTTAAGTCTGTTGACATCCATACCATATCAATTCTGGACCATGATTGGTGACGTCCAGAGTAGAATGTAAACTGTTTTTTC